GAACGTTTGGAGCAACTTGACGCTGGTAAAACTGCCCTAATAGAGGCGCCTTCATCCACAAGCTTAAGCAATACCAACATGAACATTGAAATCTAGGGGAAATGTGTGAGAAGACACACTTGTTGGAACTGGTTTCGGTACTTGTGCCAGCAACAGGCACAAGTCCATAAGTTTTCATTACTCCTAGTAAGTTTACGTCTTCGACTGGACTTGATTTGTTACTGTAATCTCAATGAAGAAACCAACCCAAATGATTTTCGCCATTTATCTGCATTTAGAAATCTGAAAACTCTTATACTTGTCTATTGCGAATCTTCAAGCGTGACAGAGCTTCCTTCAAGCTTAGAGAATCTAAGCCCATATGAGTGCCCATCGTTGAAAAACTTTGGTGATCAAGTGTCACAATTGGAATTCTACCTAAATTTGTTTCAGATTGCTCGAGAATCAACAGGTGATGAAGATGTGGCAATTTTATTGCTAAAACATCATTTTTCTTGTTAGCAAAAGTCAGGATCTTTTATGTCGCTCAAATGCGTGAGAACCAAGAAATCAACAATCCACAGTGCAATGCTAGCCAGTTCTGGCCGCTCAAAGATGAGTATCCTTTATAAGGTATCTTCATGCCTCATATTTATCTGTCCTTTTACCGCTTTTAACACCTGATTTTAATGTTACAGGACTTCTTTATACTGTTTTGTCATGCTGAGACTTATTGCTTTTCTGCCTAGGAATTGAATTTAGATTGGTTCAGATACTGGACTACGAGCCTTCATTAGCAATTCAGTTGCCTCTTAATTTGCACAATAATTATACTCTTAGGATGGCATTTGTGTACTTTAGAAGTCCAAAAGCATCATAGCGAGGAACAAGGAAAGATGTCCAGTAGCTTCCACTGCTTTTGCGATATTACAAGTCCTTCAGAATGTGATTATAGGTGTAGGTTTTATATGTTTTTGTTGAAAGAAAATGCCTAATTTTAGGCAAAGAGTGTTTCTTCAGTGGAGACAGATGGCAATGTCAACTCACCTATGGCTTTTCTTTATACATTTGACAAACACTTCCAAAGAGGAAACAGAGTCGCATTGAGGCTACTTTAGACTTGAGGGTTCAGGTCTTGAGTTCAAACAGTGTGGGGTTCGCCTGATTTCTTGAAAGATGTAGAGTTCGTTCAAGCAATGTTCCAAGGCCTCGACAGCCCTCAGTTGGAAGACTACCATCACTTAACCATCTTGTAACAGCAGCTAGTGGAAGTGGGAAGTAGCTTTTGTTGAGGAAATTTTTTTTAATGAGATTAAAGAATATTCAATTGATTCCATGATTGAACTTAAGAACTGAGACATCCAAGAAACAACGCCGGTGCCTAATCTTTTCCAGTTGATTGTTTTTACTTCAGACATATTTGATCGATCAGCACATGGGGCACACCCTTGTAGCCCTTGCACCTAAGCTCTATAAGAGTTCCGTGAGCCAGTCCAGGATTTGTTGGAAATCTGTGACTACCACAACTGCATAGCACATGAAAAGACCATTAATATTTCCAGGAGAATGGTTTTCACTTTTTCATCAGATAATTCATTTTAGTCTTGAGGGCTTAATGATTGAATAACAGTTTAAACAAGAACAATTTCACAGTTTCCTTAATGCTTGTAGACATTCATGCGGAGCCAGGGCCAACATTATTTTATTTAATAGTAAACATTTGTAATGTTTCCATATTCTTTCTTCATAAGATAGTGTTTTGCAGATGCTTTTATATTGCTAGAACAGTTATTATCTTTCAGAATGGTTGTCAATGAAATGGTGTTGATTCAATACGTAATCAAGTCAAAACAATTATAAATTGGGCAGAGCTTATAAGGATTACAGCAAAATCAAGAAATTATTCAGAACTGTTGGGGGGGGTGGGCGGGGGCGGGTGGTGGGGGAGAGGTTTGGTTAACTTCTTTTTATTTTAAATAAAATACTAGGATTTACTCTTGAATTTAACAAATATTATGATACGCCTTAATTTTAGAAGCTCAAATCTATTTCCAAATTATGAGTAATGACTTTTTTTCACCCAAATAATAGCTTAATAATACTTTTCTACCTACAAACTTTTAAATATCACTTTATTATCCAAATTTATATTCCGGCAGCAAACAGAGAGCAAAATTTGTTCAGGCTATTAAGGGTTTTGAAAAGAGGAGACCAATGAGTCTTTGGGGGTGAAAGATGGATTTGGTGGTTGAGATGATTGAAATTTAGCTGGATGGGCGGCTGAGCAAAACTAATCACTTGTGTCAGCGATTGGCAGGGTCGGTGGGAGTAAATTTAAGAGATTTTGGAGAGTGATAATCGGGAAAGAGAATGGTGGTGGTGTAGGGTTGATGTCGAAATAAAAATGGGAATAAAATTTAAATAGTAAAATAGTATTTTAAAAGTTTGTAGATGGAAAAATGTCATTAGACCATTATTCGGTAAAAAAAAATCATTTACTCTCAAATTAATATCCATTCTCCTAACGACCTTTATAATTGAGGAGAATATCCTTACACTTTAAATTAAACTGCAGGATTGGACCAATAAATCTAAGCGTTATGGGGTAAATTGTAATTAACTCTTTTAATTGTAAAATCAAATCAATATATCTGAAATGTTTTTAATGTCTATGTTATGCTGTCTTTTTTATCAACACTTTTGATTCTGGGTATATCAGTCAATTTATAGCATAAAACAAAGGGAAAATAAGGAAAATCTTTTGAAAATTTTAAGGTCCTACCAGCCAAATTACGTTTGAAAAAATGTCACATTGAAGTTGAATTTTGTGGGTGATGTGATTGAAAAAAGTTGTGGCTACACATTCTTCAGCTAGCAATTTAGGATTTCTAACAGATTCGATAATTGAAAACTGAAATACAAATATTTTTAGTGGTGGTGTAGATGTACCCAAACAACAGGGGAAGAATCTTTACTTACTAATTCTTCTTGCTTGGCAATGCTGAGGAGTCTAATGAGATCATATTGCATCATACAATTCAATAATCATTCACACCCCTTTATACGTGTATAATACTTACATCTCTCAATGAGATGAGTGATAAAAACCTTCAAATGGTAACAAATTTTAGGGTTTTTATATTTTCATATCCACCTTGAGAAATGAGAAAATACATTATTACCAAAATAAATTTTACTGTAACTAAAAGAAAAGAGTTAATGAAATGTTTCCACCCATAAAATACCATTTCACTACCCATCAATTTATTCCTCTGGGTTGGGTGGGAAATATAGTGATTTACGAAAAAAAAAAAAAAAAACCATTTTTTTCTTCTCTTCTTATCCACTTCCGTTACCGACAATTGCCGTCAGCATTGGGGAGTGTCGACGACCAGAAAATCAGCAAAAAAAAAATCACAAATACTGCAAATAAAGATTCCTCAATCATCTTTCAACCCAACAAACACAAAAACCCAACGAATCAAACTCAATTGATCGATTAAAACTCAACAAACCCTAGAGTGGGGAAGTTTCAATCGCCAACTATTGATGAGCAAATGAGATGAAGAATGTTGGGGCTTTTGGAGAGGAGGATCCAAGGAGTTGAATGGTGGTGGCAGAGATGATTTCCAACACTAGAAATGACCGAAAATCGACTTGGGAGTTGAAAGGTCGCGTGGTGCACGATCAACGATCCACGAGCAAGGGACGGTGATGCAGGTAAGGGTTTTGTAGAGTGGGTTGTGGGGAGTCGATTGATGGTGATAGGGACAATTTCCAACATTAGAAAAGACTGAAAATTGGCTTGGAAGTTGAAAGGTCGCGCAGTGTATGACTGACGATTGGCGAGCAAGGGACGGTGATGGAGGTGAGGGTTTTGTAGAGTGGGTTGTGGGAATGTGATGGTGGTGTCTGCAGTGGCAAAAAAATCGATCGGAAATCCGGCTTGAAGAGTCGGCCGTGCGAATGGAGGTGGTGGTGGGAAATGGTCAGTAATGACAGCAAATGGAGGCTTGGGCTTTGTAGAAGAGGTGATGGGGATTTTGTGGGTAGTCTGGGAAGTGATTTTGAACGTTGAGATTGGTTAGAAAACAGCCAAAACCATTGACTGTGGTGCTGCTAACGTGCACCATCTCGTGCTAATGTGCGTTATCCCTTTTCTTTTCACTTCTCCCACGGCTAAATGTTTGTTATATGTTGATCATTTTGCTCTTACTAATAACGGACTTTTGACTATTTTGCCCTTCCTTACACTGAAAATTACTTATAAAACTGTACTTTAGGTAGTAAAAGGGCATTTTAAAAGTGGACGAGTGTGAATTTGTCAAAATAACATTTTATTGAGGTCGACGTTCTCGATCGCTTCAAAGAGTATCTTGAAGAAGAATCAACGGTTAAAAAAGAACATTGTCTTGAATAATACGTACGTACTAACGAAAAAGGTTCTTTTGCCATATCATGATTATTACAACACGATAAGGCTAAGATAGTTCCTTGTTACTGAGCTAATTGGATGGATGTTATTATCAAGATTGGAAAATTTATAGTTCTTTCAACTGTATCACTGGGAAATGAACTTAAGGAAGTTTCAATTATGTTCGTGCATAAAAATAATTTAAATTATGGGAAATTTTTATCGAATATTTTTTAATGGATTCCATATAATCGGTTAAACTAGAGGCATTTTTGTCTGAAACACACAAATTTCATTATATTCCATCAACAACTCCTTGTTATAAACAAACATGGTAATTCTATACCATTCCTTTCTTGAACATTCCTGTTCTTTTCCCATTTCTATGATTCTATCCCTGTCCTAGTTCCTATTTTAATCGAGGAAGTAAACGCCAGCACAGGGGAAGTAATTTTCCCGATAGATAATAGTACAGTATACAGGTAACAGGCCCAGAACGTTAAGGGAAAGGGCAGAAGGATTCCAAATACAAGAAAATACATTTAAAAAACTGAGATGATTTTGACACTAACAGAAGAAGCTAATTTTGGAGCTGAGAAGCTGCAGAAATGGAGAGATGCTTTGACTTATGTGGCTAATTTATCTGGTTCGCATTTGCAGGACAGGTATTTTTTCTCTTCTTGCTCTACAGGTCGTTAATTTCTTTAAGGAATATATATGGGTGATTTGATTAATTTAGCAACAGCAGATTTTGTATGTTAGATTTCAATGTTCTTGTTGGTATAGCTTAAGCATGTGGTTACAAAACAATGTAAATATCCCATAAACAAGTTTCTCTCTCATTTCCCCCTAAATTAACCTCTAGTTGTAAATCCAAGGCATTTCATCATGTTTAGCACAAATCTTGATTTAAATTTGTTGATTATGGATGAAAAATCTGCATTTATCGGTTTATCCAGTGTCTTTAAGACATTCTCCTCTAAAATTGCCAGACAGTAAAACCATAGATTCAAGATCTTGGAAATCAGCATACTGTTGTGAATAATACATTACAACTCATTTGAGTATTACTTATATAAGTAGACATTTGTATGTGCATGCAGGTATGCATGTGTACTATTGGAGAATATGAATATTTAATGCATTATATTAGTTCTTATACTAATATTGAATTCAGAATTACTGTAGAATTAGAAATATAAATTATAAAAAGGTGGTCATCTTTCTATACTCTTTGCAGGCATGAGGCAATATTTATCCAAGAGATTGTTGAAGAAATATGGACTAGGTTGAGGCTCTCATTCTCATATGTTGCTAAGGGCTTGGTTGGAATAGATTCACGTTTCCAAGAAATCAATTGTTGTTTAGGTAAAAGGTTGGATGATGTTCGCATTATAGGGATTTGTGGGATGGGTGGCATTGGTAAAACAACTATTGCTAGGGTTGTTTATGACTGCTTTTCCTATAAATTTGAAGGTAGCAGCTTTGTCGCAAATATCAGAGAGATTTCTGAAAAATTTGGTTCATCTGCTTTAGAAGAGCAACTTCTTTCACAAGCTCTAAGGGAAAAGAATATGAACATATTGGACATTCATCGAGGAATCTATTACAGGCTGCAGAGTAAAAGATTTCTTATAGTTCTTGATGGTGTAAATGAATTAGAACAATTAGAAACATTAGCAGGTGATCATGAATGGTTTGGTCCTTGAAGTAGAATCATTATAATCACTAGAGATGAACATCTGCTGATTGCTCGTTGTGTGGATATAATATACAGGGCCAAGAGCTTAGTTTCCAAGGAAGCTCTTCATTAGTTTGAAAGCCTTTAAGCAAAACCATCCTGCTGAAGAATAGATAGAGCTTTCTAGGAGCATTGTAAGCTATGCTGACGGTCTTCCATTAGCCCTTGTAGTTTTGGGTTCTTATCTCAGTGGTAGAAGTGTAAATGAGTGGAAAAGTGCACACAAAAAGCTTAAAGAAATTCCTGACAGGAAAATTTTTGATGTACTCAAAATAAGTTATGATGGTCTGGAGGAAACAGAGAAGAACATTTTCCTTGATATTGCATGTTTCTTTCATTTGAGGAAAGTAACCCAAGTGACTGAAATACTAGAGGCTTGTGATTTTTACCCAGAAATTGGACTTCGAGTTCTGGCTGATAAATATCTCATTTCAATTGACAATGACAATGATAGGTTATATGTCCACAGTTTGCTAAAAGAAATGGCTCAGGCCATTGTTCACCAAGAATCTCTCAAAGATCTGGGCAGACGCAGTAGGTTATGGCTTTATAATCTGGGCAGACGCAGTAGGTTATGGCTTTATAATGATATCCATCATGTACTTGAAAGGAAAAAGGTAAGTGACCATAAAATTATATTGGTTATATGTAATGCTTGTATCAGTTCAAGAATTTAACTTCTGCTTTACTTCTCTTTTCCTTGTTCTTGGTGAATTTATGGGGAACAGAAGAAGTGGAGGTTATATCCCGACATTCATCTGGATCAAAAGAGATATCTGTGGACACTGATGCATTCGTAGAGAAACTTGAATTTCTTCTTCCCAAAGGGCTTGAATTTCTTCCCAATGATTTACAGATACTTAACTGGCATGGATACCCTCTAAAATCATTGACATCAAGTTTCAAAGCAGAGAAACTTGTTGAACTTGATATGTCATATAGTAGCATTGAACTAATTTGGAAGGATATAGTGGTGTGATTATTTCTTTCAGACCTTTATTTCATTGAATATATTTTTAGTTTCAAAAATGATGTTCCAATCCTTTCTGTTTTTTACTTTNAACTTGATATGTCATATAGTAGCATTGAACTAATTTGGAAGGATATAGTGGTGTGATTATTTCTTTCAGACCTTTATTTCATTGAATATATTTTTAGTTTCAAAAATGATGTTCCAATCCTTTCTGTTTTTTACTTTTCTATGTCTCTGGCAGAATTTAGATAAATTGAAACTCTTCAAACTCAGTCATTCAAAAAAGCTGACCATAACTGCAGATATCAGAGGAGTTCCAAATCTTGAGAGACTTATTCTTGGAGATTGTTCGAATTTATATTAGCTTCATCCTTCTATTGGTGACCTCAAAATGTTGAGTGTATTATATCTGAAAGACTGCAGAAACCTGCAGATGCTTCCAAGAATAATCTCTGGATGGAGATCTCTTTAAAGTTCTTTTGCTCATTGGCTGCTCAAAAATTGACTAATTGCCAGAGAATTTGGGGGATTTTGAACGTTTGGAGAAACTTGACGCTGGTAAAACTGCCATAATAGAGGCGCCTTCATCCACAAGCTTAAGCAATACCAACATGAACATTGAAATCTAGGGGGAAATGTGTGAGAAGACACACTTGTTGGAACTGGTTTCGGTACTTGTGCCAGCAACAGGCACAAGTCCATAAGTTTTTCATTACCTTCCCTAGTAAGTTTATCGTCTCCGACTGGACTTGATTTAAGTTACTGTAATCTCACTGAAGAAACCAACCCAAATGATTTTCGCCATTTATCTGCATTTAGAAATCTGAAAACTCTTATACTGTCTTATTGCCTGAATCTTCAAGCTGTGACAGAGCTTCCTTCAAGCTTAGAGAATCTAAGCACATATGAGTGCCCATCGTTGAAAAACTTTGGTGATCAAGTATGTCACAATTTTGGAAATTCTACCTTCAAATTTGTTTCAGATTGCTCGAGAATCAAGGTGATGAAGATGTGGCAATTTTATTGCTAAAACATCATTTTTCTTGTTAGCAAAAGTCAGGATCTTATTATGTCGCTCAACTTCGCTGAGAACCAAGAAATCAACAATCCACACAGTGCAATGCTAGCCAGTTCTGTCCGCTCAAAGATGAGTATCCTTTATAAGGTATCTTTCATGCCTCATATTTTTATCTGTCCTTTTACCTGTCTTTTAACACCATGATTTTAATGTTACAGGATCTTTCTTATACTCGTTTTGTCATGCTGAGACTTATTGCTTTTCTGCCTAGGAATTGAATTCTAGATTGGTTCAGATATCGGACTACGAGCACTTCATTAGCAATTCAGTTGCCTCTTAATTTGCACAATAATTATACATTCTTAGGATTGGCTATTTGTGCTACTTTAGAAGTCCAAAAGCATCATAGAGAGGAACAAAGAAAGATGTCCAGTAGCTTCCACTGCTTTTGCAGTATATTACAAGTCCTTCAGAATATGATTATAGGTGTAGGTTTTATATGTTTTCTGTTGAAAGAAAATGCCTAATTTTAGGCAAAGAGTGTTTCTTCAGTGGAGACAGATTGGCAATGTCAACTCACCTATGGCTTTTCTTTATACCATTTGACAAACACTTTCCAAAGAGGAAACAGAGTCGCATTGAGGCTTACTTTAGACTTGAGGGTTCAGGTCTTGAGTTCAAAGAGTGTGGGGTTCGCCCTGATTTCTTGAAAGATGTAGAGTTCGTTCAAGCAATGTTCCAAGGCCTCGATAGCCCTCAGTTAGAAGACTTTACCATCTTACTTAACCATCTTGTACTAACAGCAGCTAGTGGAAGTGGAAGTAGCTCTTTTGTTGAGGAAATTTTTTTTACTGAGATTAAGAATATTCAATTGATTCCATGATTGAACTTAAGAACTGAGACATCCAAGAAAACAACGCCGGTGCCTAATCTTTTCCAGTTTGATTGTTTTTACTTCAGACATATTTGATCGATCAGCCAATGGGGCACACCCTTGTAGCCCTTGCACCTTAAGCCTCTATAAGAGTTTCCAGTGAGCAAGTCCAGGATTTGTTGGAAATCTGTTGACTACCACAACTGTATAGCACATGAAAAGACCATTTAATATTTCCAGGAGAATTGGTTTTCACTTCTTTCATCAGATAATTCATTTTTAGTCTTGAGGGCTTAATTGATTTGAATAACAGTTTAAACAAGAACAATTTCACAGTTTCCTTAATGCTTGTAGACATTCATGCAGAGCCAGGGCCAACATTATTCTTATTTAATAGTAAACATTTGTAATGTTTCCATATTCTTTCTCTTCTCATAAGATAAGTGTTTTGCAGATTGCTTTTATATTGCTATGAACAATGTTATTATCTTTCAGAATGGTTGTCAATGAAATGGTGTTGATTCAATACGTAAATCAAGTCAACCAATTATAAATTGGGCAGAGCTTATAAGGATTACAACAAAATCAAGAAATATTATTTAGAACTGGTATTGATGAAAGATTTTATGGTTTATTATAGAATTTTTTTTTTTTTGGGAGAGAGATTTCATCCACACGAGGTTTTGGTCAACTATGTCCGGTTCTTTGTTTTTTAAAATACTAGGATTTACTCCTCTTGAATTTAACAAATATTATGATACGCCTTAATTTTAGAAACTCAAATTCTATTTCCAAATTATGAGTTAACGACTTTTTTCCCACCCAAATAATGGTTTAATAATACTTTTCTATCAACAAACTTTTAAAATATTACTTTATTATCCAAATTTATATTCCGACGGCAAACAGAGAGCAAACTCTATCCAGGCTATTAAGGTTTTTGAAAATGGGAGACCAATGAGTCTTTTGGTGGTGGAAAGTTGGATTTTAGTAATTGGGATTGATTGAAATTTAACTTGGAATGAGCAGCTAAGCAAACCTCAATCACTTGATTGTTAGCGATTGGCAGGGTCGGTGGGAGTAGAGTTTGAAAGGTTTTGGTGAGTGATAATTAGGAAAGAGAATGGTGGTGGTATAGGGTTGATGCCAAAATCGAAAAGGGAATATAAATTTAAATAGTAAAATAGCATTTTAAAAATTCGTAGATAGAAAAGTATCATTAGACTATTATTTCGGTAAAAAAAAGTCATTTACTCTCAAATTAATTATCCATTTCTCCTTAACGACCTTTATAATTGAGGAGAATATCCTTACTACTTTAAATTAAACTGCAGGATTTGGACCAATAAATCTAAGCGTTTATGGGGTAAATTGTAATTAACTCATTTTAATTGTAACATCAAATCAATATATCTGAAAATGGTTTTAATTGTCTATGTTATGCTGTCTTTTTTATCAACACTTTTGATTCTGGGATTATCAGTCAATTTATAGCATAAAACAAAGAGAAAATAAGGAAAATCTTTTGAAAATTTTAAGGTCCTACCAGCCAAATTGCGTTTGAAAAAATTGTCACATTGAAGTTGAAATTTTGCTGGAGGTGATGTGATTGAAAAAAGTTGTGGTACACATTCTTCAGCTAGCAATTTCGGGATTTCTAACAGATTCGATAATTGAAAACTGAAATACAAATATTTTTGAGAGGTAGTGTAGATTGATTGTACCCAAACAACAGGGGAAGAATCTTTACTCGCTAATTTCTTCTTGCTTGGCAATGCTGAGGAGAGTCTAATGAGATCATATTTGCATCATACAATTCAATAATTCATTCACACCCCCTTTCATACATTAATTTTAGGAAACAATATCTATATTCCTTCTCACAAAATATTCATGGTCAGAGATTTTTGTCTCAATTTAAATCAAAATTTTATCCTTCCTATTGCTGTGCAGACTTTTCAATGACCAAATTTGTGCCACTTGTCCATTCACCATGACTATCAAGCTCACACTATGTATCGCTCCCACAATAGATGACTTTATTAACAAGATTTTCAGTCTTAAGCATGGGTGAGCCTGATTTAGATCTAGATTAAGAGGGATTATACATATAATTCAGCTTGTAACAACTATTCTCAATCACTATCAAATGTGTATAAAAAGGAAGAATCACTTTCGTTTTGAGGGACGGAATTATTCACACAAAGAGTAGAAAACCTACTTAGAGAGAGTTTAACCTCACTTCTACGTGCTTTCGTTGTAATCACTCTATGTGCAAAGCAAATACAAAACAATAATATAATAATGACCAGAGACTTGATCCTAAAACTCCGAACCACTTTATAAATCATCTTTGCTCTCTTATAATCTCTTTGATAATCTTTTCCAAGCTGATTATTCTAATCACGTATACATCTTACTCAATTATGCTAAGGTCGATTAAGTATCTCTAGTTGTTATGTTTTTACATAACAACACCTATATTTAATTAACAAGAGACTTAACTTGTTAAACAAATGAAACATTATAATTACAAGTCATTGATACTTTATGACATTCTAAATCATTCCTTGATTGTAAAAGAAATAAATTAGATTTTATTAAAGTATAAATTAAGGGAATAATTATTGGAAAGCAAGTATGGTTCTAGAATTTACATGAACCAAACATTGAATGTAGGTAGCTTTGGGCTAATGCAATTGTGGTCCTATGGTATGGAATGGAATCTCAGCCGAAATCAAGCTTGGAACTTCGACACTTGTTAAGGTGATTCTTGATACTATTTTTAATTACTAAAAATTTATTCAGCTTTTTTAGTGTTCATTTTCATTTTAATTGGTTCTCGCCGAAAGGGTTTACCACTTTTTACACGTGTGTGCATGTTGTTGCTTTTGTTAAATCTGTAAAAAATTTAATAACATGACAAAATCATTTTTAATACAAATATTTTACAGGACAAATTTTTTATTGTCAATTTGTCACAAATAATATAGGCGTACAAATATTTTTTGTCATCTCAATATACTTTGTTTCTCCATTTCCATAACCTTTCTTGTATATTTTGGGTAAAATGTAATTGTATAAAGAATCAAAAATAAAGTCCCAACCCTACAAAGTCAAGTCCCTTGGACAGGCCCAGCAACCAAGCCAAGAAAACAAAAAGGTGGCATGGATTTACATTCCAAAAAGCCACAAGCAAGCCTCAAAGAGGACCATACAAAAAGACCAGCAACACAAAAACAATGCCAGACTTTTGGTTACAAAAGCCAACTGCATATACATGCAACCAAAACAAGAAGAAAAGGAGGAAGCATCAGCCTGCAATTTGTAAATAATCCCGGCAAAAACAACTCTGGAAAAGCTTCTGGTCAGCGGCGAGAAAAGTCTTTTCCAAGCCTCCAAGGTTTCATAGAAATATCTACAGACCAAACAGTAATACCACACTTTGTAGGAGCAAGCACTACTAGAAAATCACAAGTGTAAGCACTGCGGACCTGGCACAAGAAATAAATGGCAGGATAATCTAGAACATCATTAAATAATATACACTTCTAGTCAACATAATTAGAACAAAAGAATGACCTGAAAACATGCCCACGACCAAGTGACTTTATAATGCGCTGAGATCCAAGAAATACAGCATTAGCATGGAATTCAAACCAACGAGTAGATTAAGACTGCATTATGGCTAATAATTTTTCAGTTCAAAATGCAAAGTCTTTCACCTCCTCCACAAAAGCAACAAATTTTATAGAAGTTCGTGGAGGTGAAATTATTTATCTCAAAGAAGAAAGATACATGAGGTATATTCATAGTTAATTCACACATCATAAGAGCTGACTCCCATTTTTCAAGCTAACATCCAAGCCGAGCAAATTGGAATATTGAGCCTTTAACCAGATGAAGAGTAGAAGGTTTCGGCAAGTTTGTAGCCTCTACCATAACAGACAAAAAGAAACGTAAGCCCATGTTTGGTTTAATCTCATAGAATTTAAATGAATCATAAATGTAAGAAGAAGTCAATGACTGCAATGAAGAATACTGAAATTTGATTTCATTCACTGTTGGGTAAGGAAACGAAATGGTAGTTAACGGAAAGACCATATTAATGTGTATGCAATAATTGCCGTACATCACATAAAGGTCATCAGCTAAAACACAACAAAGCAATCAGCAATTTTGATCCGTTTTCACTACACTCAGAGTCAGACAACATCCTATGAAATATACCAATAGATATTACTGAGCAACTACATTTCAAAATCAAATTCTTTAACAAAAGAAGCAGAACCAATTTGGCAAGATACATAATTAGAATTTTACCTCTTGCCACCACATTAAGTGGGAAAGATCTTATCATTTAGAACATTATCATTTGATACTTTAACTTTCTTCGAAGCTTTCATAATCCCTCCGAAGCCTTCGGTCTTTGAAAAAATAAATCTTACCAAACTGTCTGCTGTGCTGTTACAAATAACAACATTCTATTGTTCATTTCAAATACTCGAATATGATACCAAACATCAAATTCTGCAATTCTTACAAGTCATAAGTTCCCACAATAACAAAACTCATACATGTCTTGATCTTTTTCTTCTTCAGATGCAGAGATTATAGTAGAGCCTAAAAAAAATCCATTAAGAAGTGAAGTAACATGAAACTAGCATTAGATAGGACCAAGAGCTTATTTCATACAAATTTTAACTAAAGTTGCAGACAATTGGATTAAAGTAATAGAAGCTAACCAATGGGTCTAAAATATGGCATATGAAAAATAATCACATCTGTCAATCCAAAATTGCTTACTCTAGTTTTGCACAAACTAATTATAAAGACTTATCATCCAAAGATATGTTTTATCAATAACTCTCATTCACTGAAACGTAATAAGCTTGATACATCAAATTCACTTGTTTTATTGAGCTAAAAACATTATAGTATTAAAAGAAGTTGAATTAATTATCTAGAAAGCAACGAAAGAGAGCAAGGGCAAGTACTTTGCCACGAGAGAGTACGGTAGCAATGAGAGAGCAATGCTAGGCTTCTCTGCAACTGAGATATGTATATTACAAATAGTGAGAAAGAAAACACAGAGCAATAGAAACCTATTCAATAATAATGCAAAAGAATCAACAAGGCACAAGAAGTAGAGAAAAGATAAATCAATACTGCTAATTATTTAGGATAACCAAAGAACTTAAAGCAAAGACATAATTCTGAACTCAACAAGCAATCAATAAGGCAACCCAAAGTTTGAATGTCAAGACAAAAAGTGCATCAAACACAGAATCAATGTAACAACAAAATAGACATTCTTCTTCTAGGGCTCTAGACCACAATAAATTATTTAACTGTGAAAACATACCT